AATATTATCTCATTTAATCTTCATTCAACAACCTTTAGAGGTAGGTGCTATTATTATCCCCATTTTATAGATGAAGAAACTACGACAGAGTCCAAGTGACTTGCCCAGGGTCACACAGCTAGTGTCTGAGCTGAATTGAACTCAAGACTTCCTGACTCCAAGTCTGATGCTCTATCCACTGTGCCAGCTAGAAGCCTGTAGTAGTTCCCATTATCTGTAAGTAAAGATCTGGACTGACATAGATACAGAATCCATCATAAAGGTTTATTAAATAATTAATATGCTTTTTAGTTCTTGCCTCCACTGAGAATCTCTTCAGGAAAATAGTAATAATAACATTTATATAGCACTTAATATGCACTAGGTACCGTGCTTAGTGATTTGCAATTATTATATCATTTAATCTTCAGAACAACCTTGGGAGGTAGGTGTTGTTATTATTCCTATTCTATAGATGAGGAAACTGAGGCAAATAGAAGTTGAGTGATTTGCCCAGGATCATACAGCTAGTAAGTGTCTGAAGCTGGATTTGAACTCAGGTCTTCTTGACTCCAGGAGCTCTATTCACTGTGAGACTTTCTCATCAGAGTTTAACTAGTTTTTGAGATTTCTTGGGGAGTTATTTCCTTCCTGCAAGCAAACCGAGGCTTTCAATCATCATTTAAACACAGACTATTCAGTACAGTATCAAAGAGAGATGGAACCAGTATCTCAGCCCCTTCAGCTAGAGGATAGTCAATGTATCTCACTGCTAAGTGAGGACCGTTTCTTACCCTTCCATACTCAAGAATGGTTTGTTATCTGTCCACTAGTAGAGGAGAAGTCCCGGAAGCTGAAGTACCCTGAAATTGCTTACCCTGTGGCACGTACAAATTTGCCCTCGCCATTGGCTGGGCACCACCTCAGTCTCTTGATGCTACTCCTGTTCCTGCCTTCACTACATTCCGCAGTAGCTAGCACCATCCTTAACAAGGCTCGTTTGCCCACAAGTCTGTGATTGGTATGGCACGGGCACTCTTTTCCATGTCTTTTTTCCTCTTCTCTGTCACCTTGTGGCTCTGGATCTTCTTAAACCTGGAAGCCTTCAGAGTGTGCCCCACTAACCAAAGTCCTTGCCTGGTAATAGCCCTATATGTCCTGTATCTAGATGTATAGCCCTGGGAAATATAATCCAGAGAATTTCTTCCAATGAATGAAGGTCTTTCATCCCCAAGCATCATAGAAAATTAAGTTTTAGGGACTAGAGCCTTTTCTTCTCATTAAATTCATACAACCCAGCTCATCCTTCTCCTCCTCCGCTTCTTTTTTTTATAACTAGCATTTAAAGAGAATTTTAAGGTTTGTAAAGCACTTTACAAATAGTATTTTATTTGATCCTTACATCACCTCCTCAGGATAGGTGTTATTATTATCTCTGTTTTACAGTTGAGGTACAGAGATGTTAGATGATTTGCTCAGTGTTTGAGGCAGTATTTGGATTCTGGTCTTCTAGACACCGGGGTCAGTACCTCATCCACTGTATCACCTGGCTGCTTCCTCTTCCTCTTTTTTCTCTTCCTCTTTCTTTTTTTCTTTTTTAAATTTATTTTCTTTTTATTAATTTATTTTTAGTTTTCAACATTCACTTCCATAAGCTTTTGAATTTTAAATTTTCTCTCCCTTCTTTCCTGCCTCCCTCCCCAAGACTGTGTGCAATCTGATATAGGCTCTACATATACGTTCCTATTAAACATATTTTCACATTAGTCATCTAGTAAAGAAGAATTAGAACCAATAGGAAGAACCCCAAGAAAGAAGAAACAAAACAAAACAGAAAGGAAAAAAAAGAGCAAATAGTATGCTTCCATCTGCATTCGAACTCCATAGTTCTTCTTCTGGATGTGGATGGCATTTTCCATCATGTTTCTCTTCCTCTTTCTCTTCCTCCTATACTCCTACTCTCCCAGAAATCTTGCTTAGTGGTCTCTGCCATCAGCCTTTGGGCGCAGCTCAAGCCTCTGTGGCTCATTGTTTATGTTTGATGGCTTAGAATGAGTGGAAATAACAAATGTTTTCTGTTCTGGCCAGAAACTCTGAGGTTTTTTTCCCTCCCAGATTACTATCTTTGGGATGATAAATTGGTTCACCTTTTGTCTCAAACCTTATCTAGCCCTTAGTCATTGAATGGGTGTGACCTCAGACAAACTGAGCTGGAGGGGAAGACCTTAACTTAGAAAGGCCAAGGTCACCCACTGCATCATGGGTTATTGCTGGTCATCTTGACCTTTGTCTTGCCACTGGACTGTGATGACTCTGAGGGCTGATGACTTTGCTTAGCTCTGCCTTACTCAAATCCAATTCACTGGAAAATCTGGAAGTCACTATCATGATGTCATTGGTCCTCTTAGAGAACAAAGGGCAAAACAACAAAACCAACTTAACTCTAGGAAGAAAAATGTAATTACAGCACCTTCATGTGACCTCTTACCTTCCTTCCTTGCCCCTGACAAGAGCCAGGAAGGAAAAAAGAAAAGATTCAGACATCTTCAGGCTCTTGAGTATGCCTGGTACATCTGGACTGTGGTGAAAAACAATGAAATTATGTATTGTTTCATCAAAAGCAACCCCAGAGACTTTTCTTAGAGCAGCGACTTGTTCCATATAGCCATAGGCTTTCCCATAATATCTCTTCCATACAGGCTACCCCTCCCCAAGTTACAGATCTACAACATGTGAGTTCAAGAATTAATATCTCTCTCTCTCTCTCTCTTTCTCTTTCTCTCTCCATATATACATATATGTATATGTATATATACCCCCCATACTCCCACACCTACCTACCCACCCACCCACCACATGTATTTATATGTGTATATGTATGTATGTGTGCGTGTATATATATATATATATACACGCACACATATGTATATGTAATGTTTTATATTCCTGTGATAGCTTTATTCTGGAGATAAAGGGCATCCCCAGGTAAAGTAAACAATCTTCTAGGCCACAGGTTGTCATTTGATAAATTATCTCCTTGGGGTAAACATATGGTCTGCAGAGACTGGTAAAAAGTTAATTTGTTTCTTTGGATGCTGCTTCCTGCGTATCACTTACAGCAGCATTTGCCAAATGAATTTGGCTAGGGAATGCTTTGGGCCATAGAACACTTGAAATACATTGGCAGAAACCATAAATGCTACTGAAGGGCTTTTGAGAGTGTGGAAATTCCCAATGCAATTTGGGAGTAGAATAGAGAGAATGAAACATCTTCATTTCCAAAATTTCTGCATGTAATAAGTATTTTTGATATATAAATATTTCATATTTAAGATTTTAGAGGGAGAAGTATCACTAACATGGAAATTTTCTTATAGAACCACTATTCTTATTATACCACTCCACACCATATTACCTTCTACCAATTAAGTGTAGAAATGTGGTCAGAAAACTGAAGTGAATACCAGGGTTTCATGGAACTTAGCTTGGAAAACACAATGGCTCCAGGAAAGCCAAATGAAGACAAGGGTTTGAGGGAATTATTTGAATAATTCAAGTAAAATATTAAAAATCATAATAAGCTAGATAGGTTATATAATTGAGGAGAAAAGCCCTAGTACATAATTTTCCATTGTGCTTGGGACTAAAAGGCCTTCATTCATTGGGAGAAATTTTTTTTGAACTATGTTCCCCAGAAGGCTGCAGGTTGGTGTTCAAGTGACCAAGTCTTTTGATTCTATTAGGGACAATTCCTTCATAATTTTTTAAAGGGATATAGAGTATATAAATAATCTTTGTTGTTGTTGTTCAGTCATTTCAGTTATGTGCAACTCTTTGTGACTTCATTTGGGGTTTTCTTGGCAAAGATACTAGAATGGTTTGCCATTTCTTTCTCCAGCTCATTTTATTGATGAGGAAACTGATGAAAAGAGGGTTAAATGACTTGCTCAGGGTCACACAGATAATAAATGTCTGAGGTTAGATTTGAATTCAGATCTTCCTGACACCAAGCCCAGGGCTCTTTACACTGTGCCACCTAGCTGTCCCCAAACAGCCTTTACACTTAGTTTAATACCTCTTTATCTGCCTCTTACTTTCTAGTCCATGTGGTTGGTCAGGAACCTACACCTCCCCCTTGTATTATCCCTTCCACTCTACCAAACATATACACACATATTTTCAACAGAATTATGACTGATAAAATGCCTCGAGGCATTTACAGTGTAGTGGAAAGGTTACTGGACTAGAGTCAGGAGGCAGGAGACCAAAATTCAAACCCTTGCTCTGTTACTTCCATGTAACTTTCAACTAGTCAATTCCTGTTTCTGCATCTTAGTTTACCTCTTACCTGTAGGACAGAGTTGGACTAGATCATTTCTATTTCATTTCTAACTTTCTGGATCAAAGACTAACAATTTATGTTCTTGACCAACTGGTCAAGTGTTATGTTACAGCTCAGCTCTATTAGATATTGTAAGCATCAAGTATACTTATACATAGGTACATACATTATACATACGCATATAGGTATACCCAGAGGAGAGGAGATAGAAGAACTAGGTTCAAGTTCTTCATTTAACACATAATAGCTATTTTTTCAAGCTGCTTAACCTGTAAGTGTGGCAGGTAGTTCTCTATGGGAGGTAGCATGGTAGAACAGAAAGAGTCAAAAGACCTTGGATCAAATCCTGCTTCCTATTACTACTTGTATGACCTTGGACAAGTCTGTTAGCCTTCCTGGGATTCAGTATCCTCATGTTAAAATAAGAGGATTGGGCTAGATGGCTGCTAAGATGCCTCTAAGCTCTAGATCTAGAATCCTATGAATTTACAGAGTGTTTATCTGCATCAATGGATGGTGTTTCCACATCAGGATCTTTCCATACCAATGAAATGCCAAGTCTAGACCCTTAAAGAAAAGTAGTGCGTGCACACAGTTCATTGGAGAAGTACCAGATATTGATTATAACTTCCCTTTTAATTTTTATTTCTCTTATTACTGGAAATCCAAAACAAAGAGGTTCATAGTTACACCAAGACTTTATTTAATAGTTTGTCTTCGTTAATGTTTTCCATAGTAATGATGAATAGCTCAATCCAGACAACATAGTCTTCTCTTGTTCATCTTTCAATTAGAATCCACATCTCTTGTAATATCTGGCTCGAGCCAGGACATCATTGCAAAAGTCACAGCTGAGGTCTTCATTACTTCTGACATATCCTATCCCTTTATTGTAGGCACAGAGTCCACCTAAAATAAACAAATGTGATTCAGTATAGGACAAGGCAATATGTAGATGGTTGTTACTTCAGCCTTACAAGAGAATTGTAAATAGTTTGCAAAGGCACTTACCTGGCCACCATGAAATAGCTTAGATATTGGGACAATCGACTCAGTGACACTAAATTTGTCATTAAGCATCCATTGCTCTTATTTCACTCTTTTATTTTTGTCTTTGTGTGTCCTTTGTTTAAAATGCTACTTGACTGATTGAATCAGTTCTTCAAAGAGCTTTGATTTCATTAATGCCAGTACTCCATCTACCTACACAATTCATAGCCTCCTACCCCTTAGTAGACAGTCTTCATGAGTTTCTGTGGTCAAAAACTTCAACTACCAATCCTCTCTGGCAAAACCTTTGAACTTAACCAATGACAGACCATTGCTGAGATGGCTTTGAAAGCTTTTCCAGTTTTGTAGCTCTGTTTAGAACGCCACACAGCAAAGCCTTCATGAGCACACGGTGACTTTCCCATGATGATAAAATGTTCTGTCATGGGGGGAAGCAATGAAATTACATGTACCTCTCAGATACTGGACAGTGGTCCATGTTGGGAATCTCCTCTGAATTTCTTTGATTCTTATATCAGAGTCTCAGTAATTTGAGCAATCCGTGGTTCACTGGTCCAATATGTGGGAATGTGCTGGCCACCACCAGTCTAGAAAAAAGGGAACAGAGAGACACCCTATGATGGGATTCAATGCTATTGCCTTTACTTTTCCTATTCTTGTTCTTTTCCTCAGCACTCTCCTACTTCTGTTCTCAAACAGGGAAAAGACTAAAGTTTTAAGATTGCTATGTAGGGGGAGAATACCAACCGTTGTGCCTCTTGCTTCTAAAATGAAACAGCAGTGGAAAAAAAGAAAGGTCGAGCCAAAAGACAAGGAAGGAAGGAAGGAAAAAAGGAAAGAAACAAGTATTTATTAAGCACCTACTGTGTACTAGTTCACGAGTGAGGAACCTGTGGCCTTCTAGGTCCTTAGTTTGACTGAGTCCAAATTTTATAGAACAGATCCTTGTATTTTTATTAATACATTTTTGCTCGTCTTTTACATTTTTATTTTATTTTTTAAATGAGTGTCCTTAAAATACCAAAGAATAAAATAAGTTTCAGTGAAATAATCTTCCCAGATTAACTGGCACAATTAAAACATTAGTAAGCCACAAGAGCTAAATTGACAGCTGCTATGCTTGTGATTTAGTTTTAACTCCCCCTGCCTGACTGGCGCCACTATCCCACGAGGCTGCTTGGTGAGACTTTATGGGGGTCGGCACAACAAAGTCATTAAAAGGTTAGTTCACTTTAAAATTAACAAATAGTTTTCATTTTTTGAAATTATTAAGTACACAGTAGTTAGATTTTTACAAAATAATGTACATTTTTAAGTATATTTAATTGAAGTTTCTTGAATTCTTATTTGATTGTGGCTAAATTAACGTGGCCTTCCAAAATGAAAAGTTTCCCTGCCCCTGCATTAGTTGCTGTACTAAGCACTTTACAGATAGTGTCTTATTTGATACTCGCAGTTACTCTGTAAGGTTGGTGCTATTATTATCCTCACTTTACAGCTGAGGAAATTGAGGCATACAGAAGTTAAGTGACTTGCCCAGGATCACATAGCTACTAAGTGCTTGAGGCTGGATTTGAACTCAGGTCTTTTCTGACTCCAAGCACAGTGCCTCCCAGCTGATTATAGAGAGTCCAAAATTAATAAATCATACAAGCATGACATTTTTTGGTTGTTGGCACAACCATACCCAGTGAACATGTCTGAAAAATTGTTTTTCATTCACAGTTATAATTCTTTTCAAAGGATCTGAGGCTTGAATTTACTGTAATCTATCAACTTTGCCAGGTGGTGGAGAAAGAGAGGGGAAGAAAAGGAGAAGGAGGAAAAGTTGGAACAGTAAAGGGACACATCAATGTTTCTTCCAAAAACATTTAGGCAAGTCTGGAGAAAAGCCTAAATCTTATCTAACTTTACCTAGACAAGCTCAATCATTCCAGGAACACTTGACACTCATATGAAAAAATAGGTATTACTTATCTTCTCTATTTAGGGGGTCCAGATTTGTAATTTCATTGTTTAAGAAGCAGCAGGGATGGAAAGTCCCTCCACTCACACCGATCAGCAGCTCTATAATTTAGAATCTTACTTTTTTTTTTCTTTTTTGGCTAGGCAGTTGGGGTTATAGTGACTTGCCCAGTGTCACACAGCTAGTAAGTGTTATGTGTCTGAGACCAAATTTGAACTCAGGTCCTCCTGACCCCAAGGCCGTGTTCTATCCACTGCGCCACCTAGCTGCCCCTATAGTTCAGAATCTTAAGAGAGTTGCCTGGGGGTCCTGAGAAACCAAATAACTTGTCCATGGTCGTACAGCTAGTATGCATCAGAAGTAGGATTTGAACCCAGGTCTTCTTGATTCCAATGTCAGCCCCACTATCTACATTGCCTCTTTTGTGATGTAGAATGCAAAAAAATTATAGCAACAGTGCCAAACTTTTTCAGTTTGGTCATTTTCCTTATACAATGATGGCCCAAGGAGGTATTTTAATTTTCCAAAACATTTTCTTTTCTTTTCCTTTCTGCCACCTTTCAGTTCAGTCAACACATCCTGTATATTTGTGTTCAATCCTCCCGTCTTCCTTACCTCTCCTCTAAAGGGACCACCATTCTCCCATCACTCAGGCTTGCAAACTTTGTGTCATCCTTGACCCCTCACTAACTCTCCCTCCACATATTCAATCTTTTGTGGAGTCTTGTTATTTTGATTTTCATAACATGTCAAGTTGACCAAGTGAACTTCCTAAAGCTCAAATCTGACTATGTCACCCCTCTACCTGATAAATGCCAGTAGCTGCCTATTAGCTCCAATATAAAGTCCTATGAGTTTTAAGACCCTTCAAAATCTTGCCCTTTCCTACCTTTTTAATCTTTCTACGCTTTACTCCTTTCTTCCTCTCCCCTTACTATGTACGCTATGATCCTGTGAAACTGGCCTCCCTCCCTCCCTCCCAACTCTCTGCCTTTTCTCTGGCTGTCTCCCATGCCTGGAATGTTCTCATTACTCATTTCTGCCTCCTAACTTCCTTGGCTTAAGTTAAATCTTACTTTCTTCAGGAGGCCTGTCCTGGTCTCTTCTTTATTTCTTCCCCTTGCTTGTGCCCTCTCTCTGAGATGTCTTTCCATTTACACTGCATATATCTTATATGTACAGTTATTTGTACCAGAAGGAGAGACTGAGGGCAGCATTTGCCAGGTAAGTCAAACTACTACCATCACTTTGATCACCATCTTCCTTCAGACCCTGATGGGGACAGTCCAGGAACCTGAACCCAAGAGCCTTAGGAGTAGTAAGGCCCCTCAAACTATCAGACCTACTTCCAGCCCAGCCCCCACATCCATCACTGAGGGGAGAAATTGTGGAGAAAGGGTCAGCCTTCTCTAGCAGCAGCAGCAGCAGCAGCAGCAACTGACTGACAACCACCAGCAAACAGCAAGCAGATAAACATAAGAGTCCTGGGAGTGGCAGGGTAAATCCCCATCCGCCTTCAATGATCCTTTTTCCAGACCAATCCTCACAGCCATTATCCAGGGAAGTAACTCTGGAGAAGAGACCAGGCATTCCCACCAAATGCAAATTAACTGATACCCACAGGGCAGGCAAGCCAGCCTAGCTGAAGCAGCAGGGCATCCACAGAAGGAGAGAGGAGTCAGCATCTGCAGACATGGCACCATCTACTTTGAAAAGAAATCTATGATCCTTCTAAATAATATAGCTGGGTACTTTCCATCCTCTATCTACAGGTACATGGAAGCAGTTGTATTTTTATTTCAACTGATGTGCAAAAGAGATAGTCCAATGTAGTAAAAAGATCTGGATTCTCTCTGGCTCCTACCCTTATTAGCAGCATAACTATAGTCAAATCATTCTCTATGCCTCAATGACTTCATCTGTAAAATGGGGAGATTAATACTTCCACCTCACAGAGTTGTGAGGAAAGTGATTTTGCAAACCTTAAATTATGTCAGTTTATTATTATTATTATTATTATTATTATTATTATTATATTATTATTATTATTATTGTAGTAGTATGAGGAGGAGGAGAAGTGATGGTGGTGGTGGTGGTGGTGTGGTGGTGTAGTAGTAGTAGTAGTAGTAGTAGTAGTAGTAGTAGTAGTAGTAGTAGTAGTAGTAGTAAAGTACCTGCACCAGAACATTTCCTTTGGCTACACTCCCCCCACTGACAAGGCCATTGCTTCCATAAGACTCCCGGGACATGATACCAGCGATCACAGCAGGATCGACGCAGTATTTTCGGCCAATCACCCTCAGTGTGGGCTGATATTTCTGGACATACGGCAAGTCCATTTCAGCCAGCTTTTCAGAAGCACGAACACCTAAAGCAAATGGGAAAGGAAACAAAGGATGGACACTTTGTGAAATATAGTTCTACAAAATGTATATCTGAAACTGGGACATCGCGACCAGCTGACTTGACATCTCAATCAGGGGTGGTGAATTCACGGGATCTCGATAAGAGCATCTAAAATGCAGAGCCCCAAGTTTTACTGGTGAATTCCCATCTGACCTAGTGACGTTAACTGAAAGTATCCCTCAGCTTTTACCTCCACCCTACCACCGACTCTTTGAGGTGCTGTCTCTCCTAAATAGAATGCAAGTCTGTTGAAAGCCAGGGCTGGCTTTCTTTTTCTCTTTATGTCCCTAATGCTTAGCAAAGTGGTTGGCAAGTAGTAAGCGTTTAATAAATGTGTCGTTGTTGTTGTTTTCATTCATCTAGGAGTTCCCTACATGGATAAAATCACTGGTCTGATCCCTAACCCTTTCCAGTTTTCAAAGTGCTCTTACATAAATATTCTTCCAATAATCCTGAGAGGTCAGCCAAATAATTATTATTACTCCCATTTTACTTATGATGAAACTGAGGCTCAGAGAAGCTACCTGATTTATTAAAGTACATCGTTAAGAAAGGCTAGAATTCAGGTCTCTTCATTCCTAATGTAATGATTATCGATTGTACTACATCCTTCTTGCCTCTCTTAAGAAGAATGGGGTTGGGGGGGCAGCTAGGTGGTGCAGTGGATAGAGCACGGCCCTGGATTCAGGAGGACCTGAGTTCAAATGTGGCCTCAGACACTTACTAGCTGTGTGACCCTGGGCAAATCACTTAACCCCCATTGCCCAATCAAAAAAAAAAAGAATGAGGGGGATAATAGTTTGAAATTTGAAAACAGATTATTTATTTACCCCACCAGTCAATCATTTAGCAGATGCATGAATTAGAGGCAGGATAAGATAGGGACTTTCCAGAAGGGTGTGGTGTGAAGGGAGAAATGATTTACGTGTTTTTTGAGTTAGAGGAAATTCTTTGTAAGAGGATCCAGGCACTGTGGGTCATAAGTGAGAGTACTGGGCATAAGATGCTGAGTAAAGAGATTGAAATCTTTCTGAAATTCTCCAGAAGGAGAGGTGTTTATTAAAAGCAAATCTGAGTTCTCCTAAGAGAAGCAGTAACATCGAACCTGGTCCAGAAAGGGCAAAATTGTGGCTGCCATATGAAAGAAGGAGGATGAGTCACGACCAGTCTGTAAAAGTGAATCCAATATTTAAGGACCTTTTAAAAGAGACAGAAAAAGAATCTAGAAAAGAGAAAATATCTTCCTGTTAAGTACCATACCACAGTAATTCAGTCCTCGTTGTCTTCCAATTATACATGAAGCTCCAGGGGTATCAATGTTTCTGATATTTCCATAGCATCCCCAATTAGTACTTTCAGTAGGGTCTGAAGGAAGAGAGAAATTTCAGAGTAAGCCATCTAACTGATATAGTTCAGAAAGGTTTTGACTATGGGTGTAGCCACATAATAGAAAACACACTAACAGTGAATTCTTGCTTCCTGCTCTGTCAACTTTAGAAGGGGGCAGGGAGATTCATTTTGCTCATCCACCAGCACTAGTCATCTGAGAGCTAGGTTGTGAAACCATAGAAGCAGCGTTTGAGGCAGGAAAAACTGCCTCTTAGAACTTCCTTCTCTATTATCTGCTGCGTGGAGGAATTTCACAGAGCTGAAGAGACCAAAGACTCAGGAAAGAGGGTGGGGACCATCACCATTGGAGAAAATGATCTCCAATGTAAATGTAAAATGATTTCCAACTTATCTTGAATTCTAAAGCATCTCTCTTTCAAATCCTACTGGCTCAGTCTAGCCTGTGAAATATTCAGATATGCTTTTGGAAGAGTGGAGAAGTAATTCTTTTTCTCAACTTGATTTTTTCCCCTTTGTTCTTCTCTGGGACTCCAATTTAGTCCCAGAGTTTGTCTCTAGGGGCTTAGATGTTACTTTAATCAGATACGTGTTTTTTAAATAGAGGCTTGGCTCTGAAGAAAGGAGATATGGGAGATTTGTCCTCTGCCATCAAGATCGGCAGAGGGTGTCTGTGTGTATGGGGGTGAAGATTTCTAATTCATCTTTCATCTGTTAAAATATGAGTTGTTCCTCTTGGGGATGTCTCCTTTCGTTCCACCTTGCAAGTTGGCTTGCAGATAACTGCTGGCATGCAGGCAATTACTGAAAGGAAGAAGAGGCTTCTTCCTTAGGGAAACTGTCAGAACTGTACATAAATTATAATTATAATCACCAATAATAACTAGCTTTTACATACTACTTTAAGGTTTACAAAGCACTTCGCAAATAATGTCTCATTATATCCTCAGTTTATGAACCCTGGTGGCTATTAGGTGCTATCATCATCCCCATTTTACAGATGAGGAAATGAGTCAGGCAGAGGTTGTAACTCGTCCAGGGTCACACAGCGAGGATTTGAACTCAGGTCTTCCTGATACCAGTTTCGGAGCTGTGTAGATGCCATTCATTCAGCTAGTATTTTTACTGCTAGATTCCCTCTAAAATGACTTCTGGTGTTAGGACATAACACCTAATACTCAGGACATAAGTATTAACCAAACAGGTCCTTGTTAACTTAGGAGCCCAGAAAAAGGAAGGGATATTTCCAGAGAGGATGACAAGGTCATTTTTGAGAGTGGTGGCTAAAAAGAAAGACTTTCCCAAGTTACAGGGTAACTAAATGAAATTGGAGATTGCCTTTTTTGTTAAGCTTTTTTCTTTTTAACAGTCTTGTGATTTCATCAATGTTTCTGGGAGATCTGGGTAAAGAGCTCCCTTTACTGGTGCTCATCAGCATCTTCTTTGAAACTCCTTATAGCCTTGGAGAATTAACCATTAAAATGACCTGCCACTCTTTTCATTTGAGTGGCCTTTTTAGTTATTTTGGACATTAATTTCAGTACTTTGTAATCAAAAAAGTTGTCATGACCCAACAATGAATCCTTAGGAGACAATAGCTTACAGCAGAAAGATCACTGGGTTTGGAGGCAGAGGACTGGGTTCAAATCCTCACTCAGCTACTTATTGTTTTTATGGCCCTAGGCTAGGCATATAGCCTCCTGGTTCTCAGTTTCCTCATCTATAAAATGAAGAAGTTTGGACTAAGATGACCTCTGAGGTCCCTTCTAGCTGATATGCTTTGAGAGAGTCGGGCTAGATAATTTCTTTTTGTTTTTGCTAGGTAATCTGGTTAAGTGACTTGCCCAGGGTCACACAGCTAGTAAGTGTCAAATGTCCGGTCGGAGGGCGGGTTTGAACTCAGGTCCTCCTGACTTCAGGGTCAGTGCTTTCTCCACTGCGCCACCTAGCTGCCCCCCTAGATAACTTCTTAAGGTTCCTTCCAGCTCTGAATCTTTGAAAAATATGTAGTATGTTTTGTATATTTTAATACATTTTTAAATGAAATTCTGGAAAGTTCTTCCCAATCCTCCATCAAGCTGATGGTTATGAAAATGCTACTATTAGTCTGAAAGGGAGGTATGAATTCCTTTTAGAGGTATAATCTTTTGGATTAGGAGATTATACATAAATAGAGCCCAAGAGTGGAAAATACATTTTTCCTTTATTCTTATGGTCAATACATATGACATACATGTCAGGTTTATCAACATTGGTATTTATATCTTCTTTATGATTGGTATAACATGCTCTTTTAAAAGTGTGCATCTTTTAGGACTAATGATAAAGCATATTATCTGCCTCCAGCTAAAGAACTGATATTGTCTGAATATAGACTGAAGCATGCTATTTTTTACTTTCTTTTTTTATTTGATTCTTTTTGTATAAAAATTACTAATAAGGAAATGTTTTTACATGATTGCAAAAAAAAAGTATGTATCTTTTGTAAATGGAATGATAAATAAATTACAGTAGCATACGTTTAAATTCAGACCCCAAGCATTATTTTGCAAGTCTTCATCCTCAAAAATGACCTTGTTAATCGATCTATTTCCTTTCCTTTTTTTAGGCTCTAAAGAATAATGGGAACTCAATAGAGAGCTGGGCCTGGAGTCAAGAAGACTTGAGTTCTGGCCTCAGACCCTTACTGTGTGGCCTTGAACAAGTCATTTATCCCCTGTCTGCCTCAGTTTCCTTAACTATAAACTGGGGATGATAATAATAGCTCCTACCTCCCAGAGTTATTGTGAGGTTCAAATGAGATAATATTTGTAAGCCAATTAACACAGTGCCTAGCACATAGTAGGAGCTTAATAAATGCTTGTTCTCTTCTCTTCCCTAATTCTCTTGCTATACCTTAGTCCTGTCACCAGAATTTGATAGTGGGAGGAACTAGAGGCTTTTTTTTTCCATCTGCAATTTCATATTTTAGAAGCTCCATTCACCTACCACCTACAATTCGCCTTCTCCTCTCCAACCCCAAGAACAAAATACATGTGGAAAGGGAAAAGCAGCAACTTACAGATAAGGGCGGCAAGACCCAGAAGCAGCCAGTAAACATGCATGCTGACGGCTCTTGTTCTGCAGGACCTGAAATGGTTTTGAAATAAATATTAGTTTGAAGAAGTGAAAGCATCAACACACATCATAAAAATATATAATGTTTCTATGGGAAAAACAAAAATAGGAAGGACTAAATTTCCCCAGGCCCCAACCAAGGGGAAAAAAAAAAGAAATCATCCTAATTGTAATGGAAGAAAAAAATGAAAGTTAGTTCTGTAGACTCTGGCATCCTTCAACAAGCTTTAAAATGACTTGACTCTCCCCTGGCTTGTAGCAATTCAAGCAATCATGAATTTTCCTGATACTTTTCAAGGTAAGTATTTAAGGAGCAAATTGTTGTTCATTCACTTTTCAGTCATGTCTGATACTGGCAAAGATACTGGAGTGGTTTGCCATTTCCTTCTCCAGTTCATTTTACAGATGAGGAAGCTGAGGCAATTGGGGTTGAGTGACTTGCCCAGGGTCACACAGCTAGTGAGTTATCTGAGACTGGATTTGAACTCAGGTCTTCTCCACTGCACCACCTAGCTGCCCTGTAAGGAACAAACTTGTGAACATTTCTTTCCTTCCTGCATCATGAAAATCCAGGACATAACTTTCTGTTTCTGGGCTTGTTCCTGTCCTCTACTCAAACCTCAGGCCCAGGGCTATGACTGAAGAAGGTGAATTAGTTGATAACTAATTCCTTCCTTTCAAAAGCCTCTTCCTTAACAAAAGACATGTATGCAAAGGTAATTTTTTTTTGTTGATGTAGATGTAGATGAGACTTTTTTTTTATTTTTAGCATTTAAAAAAATTCTTTTTTGAGTTCCAAATTCTCTCCTTCCCCACCCCCATCCACTGAAAAGGCAAACAATATGACATCAGTTATAGATGTGAAATCATGCAAAACCAATTTCTATACTGAAAGGTGATTCTTAATGTGAATGATTTCCCCTCACATTTGGGGTATTTTTGCTTTTCTTCCTTTTTTTTAGGTAGGCAGAAGCATTATAGCCTTAGAGTTGAAACTGATGTCAGGGGCCATTTAGCCCAATCATATAATTTTACAGATGAAGACAACTGAGGGGCAGCCCAGAAAAAGTTACGTAACTTGCCTGAGGTCACAAAGATAGTAACTTGTAAAACTGAGATTTAATCAACCCATTGCACCTTGTTGACTCTGATTTGTCACTCCCTTTATCACTTGAAAAGGATCCTGCCTGATTCTTCCCACCCCATTCCTAGTCAGGAAGGCATGAGAGAACAATCCTCTCCTGTATTCCAGTCCCTCAGCCCCAGGTTCTCAGAATCAGTTGAAAGGATGAAACTAGAAGTGGTGTAATATATTGGATTGAGTGCCAACCTGGGAGCCAAACAAGGCTAGGGTTTAGATTCTGCCTTAGATACCATCTGTGTGTGTGACCTAGGAAATCCTTCAACTTCAGTTTGCTTACGTATAAAAAGGAGAAAATAAAAGCAACTACCTCACACAGTTATTGTGGTGATCAAATGGTATAATGTATGTAAAGGGCTTTGCGGACTTTAAAGGGTTAAATAAACATCAGTTGTTATTATTACTGTGACTGCTGCAACCAACCTAATACACAGAAAACCTACACAGGGAAAGACTTGGGATAGGGCATAGAGAGTCCAGGGAGGGCATCTCAGACGTAATTGGATTACATATACCTAGAAAGTTAGCAAAGAAAAGGTCCTGAGACGCAGCAGCTTCTAGGGAATGTTGACATCTTTGAGGCAGCTCGGTGGCACAGTAGAGAAAGTGCTGGGCCAGGAATCAGAAAGACCTGAGTTCAAAGTGTGTCACTAGTGTGACCCTGGGCAAATCATTTAACTGCTCTTGGCCTCAATTTCCTCATCTATAAAATGGGTATGATGATAACATCTACCCTATCCCAGGGTTGTTGTGAGGATTTAATGAGATAATATTTGAAAATACTTTGCAAACCTTAAAGTGCTATCTAAATGTTAGCTGTTAAAATTATTATCTTATGTACTTTCACTTCAAGAAGAGACAGAAGTGACATTTACCAATTGGCAACCACTGTGTTCCAGACCCTCCCTCCACAACATACAAACCTACCTCCTAATCACCATCAAAAAATACAAAAGTTCCAGTTTCCTCACAGTCCAATAGAAAAATACCTAAATACTCTCTTCACCTGGACCCCAGCATATGGCGGATGACTGCCTTCATTGACTCCTTCCTCACCCATCAACTCCACTTCCCCTACTCATTCAACAAGAAAACCCCTTCTTCCCTGTTGTAGTATGAACTTGCCCTCAGTTACCCATCATTATAACACACCATTATTATCATTTTGCATTCCTATAACACTTGACAACTTCAAAATGCTTTAAAAGTTATTTTCCTTAATCATTCTTCATGGAAGAAGTACCTGAGAGAAATTTAAGACTACATTGGAAAGAAAACTCATTTAAAACATAAAACTTCATTGGAAAGAAAAAAAAATTAGGAAGACAAATTTGCACCACTTTCTCTTTGCCAAGCCGAAGGTACAAGTCATTCCAGCAAATAGCATGGCTTTCGTTTTATTCCTCTAGTTGATTAAGATGGTCTAATTTTTCAGAATGCTTAAAAGAGCAGGGAGGAGAGGCCCACAATTAGTTTGAACGCTGTTATATTATTGCCCCGTACATAAAGGAAGCTGTAGCCACGTCTGGAACAGATATATTCAGGCAGCAAACAGAAAACATCTATTTAGCACCCACTGAGCTCATGGCATATACAGAACAGGAAGACCTACTGAAAGAATAAAAAAAGAATTGGACAGAGAGAATTTTGGTACAAGAAAGGCTGGCTGTCCTATTGAGGTGACATTTTTATGGGGGCCTTCCAGTAACTTTCTGAAAGGAACCTACTAAAAATGCTTTACTTCTATCCAAACAAGAACAGGGGGTATGGCCGCTTTTATTGCCCCCACCTTTAGCCTTGGTAAAAACAAAAAACAAACAAAAAAACCACTTTATTGAATCACTAGTGGGAGGTCTTCTCTGGATCTGCAACAATGAAATGATTTATTGTGCAATGTAGAGAGCTATGTATCTATGTTCAGCATAGTATATACTGTGGGATAGTATAGTGACTGGGGCTGTCTTTCTGTAGGCAAATACGGCATCTACTTCCACAAAGTTAGGGTGGAGAGTGACTTACTGGTTCCTACTGGATCCAAGATTCCCAAATATTTTTAGCGAATTCATTTAGTGAAATCTAATTTTGTTAGATTGAGTACCTGCTAACAATAGAAAGGAAGAAAGAAAAGGAAGGGAAGGGAAGGGAAGGAAGGAAGGAAGGAAGAAAGGAAGGAAGGAAGAGGAAGGAAGGAAGGAAAAGGAAGGAAGGAAGGAAAGAAGGGAGTAAAGGAAGAAGGAAGGAAAGAAAAGAAAGAAAGGGAGGAAAGAAGGAAGACAAGACACAAAAATGCTTAGCAGTACAATCCCCTTTGCTTGATTTTCCAGGTTAGGTAAAAAATATCTGTCATAAGAGGTGATTATCTCAAGTGAAGATTATAATGGTGTATAATAACCATTAAGCAGATTATTTGTCCAGATCTTTGATGATTAATCAGTTAATACATACCTACCTCCCTGATCCTGGAAACCACTTTTTGAATGCTAAGTAGAGGTAGGTATCAGGGAAATAATGACCAACATATGAATGACCCCATCTCCCCATTTTCCTGGAAGTGGAAGTGAATAGCAGTACAGTATTGTTAATTGTTAATGAGAGTAGAATAAAGAGCCTTATAAGGAAAAAGGAAGAAATCACATAGGCTTTGGAAGAGACTTTAGAGGTTTCTGTTCTAGCCTCTTAATTTTAAAGATGAGGAAATTGAGGCACAAAAAAAGTTAAATGGCTTGCCTATGACCAAGTGGGTATTAAGTAGCAGAGCTGGTATGCAAATCTCGATCCTCTGGCCCTTTTCGAAGTGCCATGCTCAGCATATTCATACAAAATATTAGCCAAGTGATTCACACATTAGTATGAGCCCCCCCTTCATCTGGCTGAGGAAACCTTTGCTGGCTCTCAAAAGATGCTGTCATTCTCAAGGGCTGAGAATAGACATGATGCCTTTTCTTGAAATATATCAAGTAGAGGGAAAGACTTCATACTTCTTCCGGAGCAGAGTCTAAACTAATGCCATATTGTCCTAGGAAAAAAAACATATCAAACTGACTCTGGTAAGTGGCTTCTGAAGTTTGTTCATTTAGAGGACCTGCTTTCTTCTCCTATCACCATCATCACCATCATTATACAGGCATTGAGTATGGCTAAGTTTCTAGAGGGCGCAGCTCATCCTGGTCTCATATCTCTGCCTCTATCTCTTCTGGAGAAAGTGAGTCCTTGTCCCAACACCTTCCACTTGGGTGTGCTAATTTTAGGGAAGTAGCAGCAACATGACTCACCCATCTTTGTATTCCTCCTTTATCTCTTATTATTTTTTTAATTTAGTTTTTTAAATTAATGTTTAAAATTTTTTCAATGAAAAAAATTCCATCTTTTCTCCCTCCCACCTCCCCCCATTGGGAGAAAAAGAAAAACAAAACTCTTTTAACAAATACGCATAATCTAGCAAAACAAACTTCTACCTTGGCCATATATAAAATATCTCATCTTTTTTCAGAAAAGCAAATTCCATGTTCAGTCTAATGCTGATGCTGCCATCATCACACATATTTTTGTCCTCATTCTCCCATTTTGCACATTTTCTCTGTCTCTGTCTCTGTCTCTCGTTCCCTTCCTTTCCCTCTTCCTTTCCCTTTATTCTCCCTTTCTCTCCCCTCTTCTTCCTCTCTCCCTTGTCCTCCCTTTCTCCCTCTTCCCCTGCCCTGGTCTCTTTGTCTCTGTCTCTCATCTCTACCCCATCCCTCTAACCCAGATTCAGCTTCATTTTTATTGCCATTTCCACCATAGGAAAGAAGCACACAGTCAATATTTTAGGATTCAGAATTTCCCTTACAGCAGCCCATAGTTTCAAGAGATTTTTCATTTCTTCCATTTTCCCTATGAAAGTTTGAGACCAGTCACAAATGGGAGATCAACAGG